TTGTTTTACGGATGCGATATCATTACTGCAAATGGTTTGGCCTGATCAAGTGGAACAATTAAATTTTAAGGATGGGAACATGTATTAAAAAAACATTTTTTGTTTTCTTGTTTATACTCTGCTTTAGGTAAACTGACATCAGAAGTCCTTTAACAACCGTACTGTTCAGCCCCAGTCCCACATTGACAACAAGGCAATTCTCCGAATGCAGAGAAGATAAATGGTGCTAATGCCACTAAGCAAACATGACATTTTTGTTGTACTGTGATCATAGATGAGTCACCAAGTAAAATGATTAATCACAAATCAATGTTACTAGGCTCATTTAGAGATGATTCTCCCTTTGGAAAGCAGGTAGAAGCTCTAAATTTATAGGCTAATGCGTTTATTCTAGCTGTAGCAGTCTCGTTATTGGTCTTAAGCATCAGAGTCTGCAGGAAATTTGTGTGCAATTAAGCTAAAGTGATGACCTCCTTATACACATTTTGGCACTTTTTTATCTGATAGTCTGTTGTGCAAATATATAAATGAATTGAAGCATTACATAGAAATTACAGCTAATGCAATACTAAGAAAAATAGACATATCCCTGAACTTTAATACATATGCCAATAAGGTATCTCGACCATAAATTACACTCATTTTATCAGTCTGCAAATGGGTTTATCAGTCCACAAATGGGTTTGTGCTAAGACTTTAGACTGCTTCATTTTTGCTTGGCTAACATTTGTAACTTCTACAAACAGTTTTATGATCTAAATTGTTTCAGGAGGAAGTGCATGGATTTGTGGAGCAACATGTTTATAAGTCAAATACACACTGTGAATACTTTCTATTTGGTAAATAAATTCACCTTATTTAAAAATTAAGCAGAAAAAAGTTCTTTCAAACAAAAAGCACCATAGTGCTTTTCTCCTCACTTTGAATTTAGTGAAATTAAATACTCACATAGACTCATGCACCTTTTTATCTGTCTGTGTAATCTGTCAATATAAATTGTTGCTGGAGTGATCATTTCCACCCTACAGAGGGTAGAAGACTGTGCCAACCCCTAGACATGATAGGCTCTGGATCCCTGTACTACCAGAGAGGGAATATTGCAAAGCAGAGCTGGCTGAATATCAAAGATTTTGATTCAAAAAATATTTCATGATTTAAAGAACATGAAATAAATACATGACATTTGCTCAGCTTTAGTGTCATTAGTTGAATATAATATTCTCGTGACTGTGTGGTGAAAGCCACATAGCACCATAATCACAAGATTTTGGACTCTCCCAACACACACTGGTTTTGCTCTGCTCAGCAGTTAACGAGGGGATGGGGTGGAGAGGTCCCCAAGCTGGTCTGTGTTCTAGAAGAGCAGAGAAGAGTTGCCAAGTAGAACCACCCAAGACTTATGAGATCCTAGGCCAAAATAATCTATATTAACTTCTAAGCAGCTCACACTGCTCCTGCCAGAAAGTACCAGCCAGACACTGAACACACCACTGTGCTCTGGCTTTGGGAAAAGGTCAGGTACAGGATGTCTGGACACACACAGACCTGTCCTACATGGGGAGCATTTATTGCTCAAAGCACACACCCATCATTAACAGTTCTTGCATACTTCCAGTGCTCCTCAAGATCCTAAATGATGCATTACATCTTTAGATATCTCTTAAATGCAGGAGACATCAAACCTACAAAATTATCTAAACTATATCTGGAAGAAGTCGAAAATTGACCAGCTATTAAGGTGAACTCAGCTTTTCTTTTGCCCATACTAAGCACAATGGAAGGTAAAACAAAACCCTCTGACTAATCTATTTATTTCTACACTGGACAAAGAAAGCAAGGACTAAATCAACTGTCTTTTAACCAACTAAGAAAGGAAACAAATATCACTAAATGAGAATTACCTAAATAACTAGAATGGTCTATAATGAATTAAATATATATTTTCAGCAACTCTTATGATGAACTGCTATGTTGTGCTCACAACTTACTGTCCTCAGGAAGTATAGACAGGAACCAGGTGACAAGAAAAACAGGAGCTATGGACACATAAACAGCTGTCTGCCACATTTTAAAGCTCTTTACCCTTTGACCATGATTTAAGACTTTATTCCCTCCTTTCAAGGTTTAAGCACATGGTTTCCCTAGGGAAGCTATCCTACAATTAATGACTTTAGAATCCGCTACTTGAGAGAATGTGAGTTGGAAGTGTGTGCCTTCACAGGTGCCACGTTACAGAGGCATCTATACAGACATTATAGTGCTGTTTTGAACTTGGCACCACTGCAACAACCATCAGACTGAGCAGGAAAAAAGACACTCCAGAAAGCTCCCTTTCAAGCAGTACTTTCCTTTGCTCCAAGGAAGCCCAATTCAGAGGTTATTATTCAAAAAAATAAAGATAGTCAAGCTACATCTTTTCTCCCTGCCTCCCAGGGACAGACATATCTACATTATGAGACTCAGCACATTACAAGCTGGCTGCTTGTTTTCTATCATCATCTAATATTTTCAAGTGCAAAATCCTCAGCCCCCATTGAGGAAGGTTGAATTCAAAACAGAGACCAGGAAACGTAAAGCAGCAACACAGAGCATACAAAAGTTAACACTAAGCAGGAGTGCACTTCCACCTTTCAGCTGCAATCAGCAGGACTAGGAAGGAATTAGCAGTCGCCACAAACAGAAAAAGCCAACTTTTTCCTAAGTCACTGGAAATGTTACTATTGTAAAACTGACTCTTAGCAGACAGATCCCTGCTTCAAAAACAGCATAAGAGGAGAAGCAAATCCCCCTAAAATCCTTTTAACAGGACATTAAAGAATAAAGAAAAGCGTTTGTAGCAAAGAAACGTTGGCAGTTGCAGTCTAAAATGCCGGTAAATGACCACAGTGCTCCCTCTGGTGACAACAGATGGGGCAAGTCACCTGCCGTGAGAATCCGTGTCAAACTCCAGTATCAGCTACGGCAACACATCTTCCTCCTTTGAAACTTCATAGCAATACAGCAGGTACTTCCACTGAAGAAGGATTAGAAAGACTCTAATGCCACGATGAGTTATCATGCTTAAACCTCAGGAATGTGTTGTACATTACCAGAAATAAGTTTTTACACCAGTGATGCTGCCAGGTGTCAGTCACTGCAGCATCTAGAAAAGAGCATGAAATGAGATTTCAGCTTAGAAATGTGGATTTGGACTTAAATTCCATTTCAGCACCAGAGAAACCATTTACAAGGGATGAATGTTCTGGAAGGAGGTGAAAAAATGTTTCTATCCAGTAGGACACGGAACCTTTAGGAGCTCATACGAAGGATCTCAGGAAACCAAATTCTAACTAGTTCTGTACTGGAAAATGTTTGGATCAAGTGTATAGTTCAGGTCAGTACAGTAAGAGTGGACTGATGACAGCGAGCCCATAGTCAATGACACCCTTCTCTGTCAATTTATTAAAGGAAGTTTATCAATTTGTTTTGCCAGCGTGGAAATCTTTGTTTAGCTTGTGCCTAGATAGCCTTTGGCCATTGAGAGCTTCTCAATGCAATGAAACTGGATAGACTTGAGAGATGATGAAGAAATGTTTAAGGATGGCTAATAAGAGATCCATAACAGGCTGTGTTTGGTTATGCCCAAGTGACCTCACTGACAGACAGGGAGCTGTTTGCCAGGAGGTACAACTCACCTGTGCAACTGGTGCCCTGGAAATGAACTGCTGCAACAGGACCTGTGATTCAGAAAGCATAAGCATCAGCTTCCCTGCAGCTTCCAGGTGCTATCCAGGGAGCAGTCAGTCCTCTACAACAAGCAACATCACAAGGACCTTGGAAACATTTCAGTTTGGGTTTTTTTCTACAAAACATTCTGTACTGTCAGTCACCTTTGGGTGAAAACAGCCAAAACACACAAGCAGGCTGCCCAACTGCAGGCAAAGCATCACAAGAGCAATAGCTTCTGCAGTTTCGTCCACAACAATTAAAGATCTCTCAGAGTTTGATAAGACTTGCTGTGATCCACAGCATTTCAACCCTCATCTGTCCTTCACCATCCCTTGACATCTACAGACACTAGGATAGTAACACTTGCCCAATTTTACCTTCTGTCATGATGTTCTTCTCTGATGAGAATCAACTCCCAGAAGTGTTTGATGAGCCTTAGTTGGGATGAATGAGGCAGTTTAGATCCCTGAGATGCTGCAGGAGACTTTCTGAACACAGGAATACATCCCTATGCCAGCTATTCTCTTACCAGGTTTTCATGGTTTTTCTGCTGGATTCCAAGGGGAAAAAGGAGTTTTTGTTATATTACACTTGAAACTTTAGTACTGCAGAAGGCAAATTTGGTTCAGGGGCACAGATTATACAGGCTGGCAAGTGTCCTCACTCTAGCCCACTGAAACACTGCTGCAAAGCCATTGTCACTGACGTGTCCTTGCTGGTGCTGCATGTCCTGGTGTGCATCACTGCAGCTTCTGGCATCCCCACACACACCCACTTCTGCCATGGCAAATGAGACCTGGATTTACAGCAGTGACACACAGGTGCTTGCATGGTGAACTGTAAAAGCATGGCAGGTTGGCAGCCTGTAAGTCTTATTAGGGATTTCAAACATCCCAAGACAGGTGGTGGTTTGATGGCTGTGGGTACTGAGGGTGACAGCAGCAGATTCAGTTCCTGCTGGTAACAACAGTGATCAGACTGTCTGTGCCCACAGCTACACAGGGTGGAGCATACACAGGAAAAATCCTCTCACACAGAGACCAAAACTAAGGACAGGCAGCTTCAAGTACATGATCTTGGGTTATATCATTCACAACAATGAATTGTTTCCCTATGACACGATTCTTGTCAGATTTTGTGGATAACAAATGGCTCTGGTTAAGGAGGGGCCAGTCTGCTTTCTGCCACTAAGAACCAATAAGATGCACCACTTTATTTGTACTTTCTGCCTGAACAGTGACTCTGCAGGCCCTGTATATAAATCCCCCTGCTCTGAAGAAGATACCACATAGTTTCATCAGAATATCTTTGCTATATGTCATCAATTTTAATTCCAACCTGTACTTTAATATGCACATAACTGTTTTCAAATACAAGGAAATCTTGAAGTCAACAGCATCAGAGCTTTCAGTAAATCCTTCACAACTTCAGAAAAATCTCTATAAACATTGTGTAAAGTAGATACAGAATGTACAGAGAACAGTTTTCTATACAAAAGTGCATTTTAGCATTACAATTAGCAGAGAACCGGGGGGAAAAAAAAAAAAAAATCAATTTAAGCAATACCATATACTCTAATGTACACCCTCACCTCTCCCCCTAAAAAAAGACAAAAAAACCCAGACCCCCCACTTTCCCCTTGCTTTGGTTATGAACTATATTCAAGGCTTCAATATTACAATTTTTTTTTTTTACACTGAAGAATTTATTTGGAAATGTTTTAAAGTTAGCCAGATGAGAGAGAATGCAAGTATGATTCATCAGAGTTAATAGTCAAAATATACAAGCTTTGAATATTACTAGGATGTGCCCTTGACAGATTAATAAACTATCTTTGCAATCCTTAAATGGACAACTGCATATTGACTTTTCTATGCTCAAGAACTGCAAGATCAGTAAGCTTAAGAATATTAAACCAATAAATCTAACAACAATTGCCATGAAAATCTGGCTTATAAGAATGAACTGTAAGAGCTCCCAAAACAGTTGGGTTTATTAATATTTATAGACCAATGCATCAGCTGATTTCAAAGTTGAAAGAGTGTTAAGAGAAAAGAAATGGCTTCAGGCCATTCAGCATAGATGAACAGTAAATACTGCCATTTTTATGTTTCTATATTGTATATGCATTCTGATGTAAATGCATGTACTTAAGTTCAAGCAGGTTGGTTTGGGTTTTTTCCCCCAGAGAATGATCTTCACAGGTTTCAAACCACAACAGGAGAACCAAAATTTAGGCCCAGGAAAGTCTTGCAAAGAATTTTCTTGCTCTTTCAAGTAAGTACCCCATACTGAGCATACTGTAAGCATCTTTTCATCAGTTTCCCAGATAAAAAAAAAATAGATATCTTAACAGAGACAAAAGATGACATTAGAAACACACACAGAAATCAACCAGGTTTGTCAGGCAGCTTTCTTCCTCATATTTAAAATCATATTAGAAAAGAATGTTCTCTACTGTTTACAGTCTTATTGCAATCAAACTTTCAGTGCTCCTTCTAAGCCTTTATAGAGAAAAAGTTACCATGGAAGCAAACCGTTACCTTTACAGAGTGTAAATTAATTACATTCATATTGCAGTGGGTACAAAGCTCCTACATACACAGCTTCAGTACCATGGAACCATATAACTCTGAGCTTTTTCCTGTGTGCCTCTATGTTACTTTTAAGCTTGACATTTGTGCTCTGTGAATAAAAAGCAGAGATTTGATTTAAAAAAAAAACAAAAACAAAAAACCATACTAATAAGAATGCATTATTTTAGCAGTCTGTTACTCTTCACCTGAACCCAGTAATCTACAGCTGTAACCACAATGGCCAACATTTAAATTGGCAAGACCAGGTTTAACTAAAATTCCAACTGTTTGATTAATGCCATGGGTATTTAACATAAATTCATAGAATCATTTAGATTGGAAAAGACCTTTTAAGTTCATCAATTCCAACTTTAAGTCTAACATTGCCAAGTCCACCACTAAACCACGCCCTTAAGTGCCACATTTACGTGTCTTTTAAACACCTCCAGGGATGGGGTCTTCCTGGGTAAGCACAGAGCACAAAGCAGGGAAAGACAGGATTCTGACCAAAAACCTCCCCCACCACAAATTGAGCATGTCACTAGAACTATGGAGGATGAGAAAACAAAAGGGAAAAAACCCCAAATGTGAGAACTCTTGAATCCCACAGCTACTTCAGGCCTGATTCTCTGAGGTCAAAGACAACATTTTATCTCTGAGTACTTGGCAAAGAACATTCAGGCAAGATGTTATTCTGCATTCTTACCAGAACATTCAGAGTTTTGTATTTTTATGTTATAAGCACCCTGGGTCTATGAGATCACAAAGCTATAAATTACTACCATGGAATCCCTGGAAATCCACTCTCTTCTTTCATTTCTACCGTCACACAAGTGATTGAAGTACCTGCTGGAGATAACACACCACTATCAGCTATTGTGGCACCCAGGACCTTTTCATCCAATGTGACAAGAAACTGGACCCATTTAATCACTTGGATTAATTTATACTTACATCCCCAACCTAAGATCAAGGTGGAAATACTACCCTCCTCATTTCATGATCCCTGGAAACTAGTAGACAGGTGACCAAAACAAACTGTACCTCATCAAAATGAGGGCGTCTTCTCTCAAAAAAACCTGAGGCATTTTAAACTCTGAAGAACTGCTGAAACAGAAAAAAGTTACACACTTTCATGCTCCACCACACTGAGATATTGCACCTTTCTTACAATTCACTTCAGTGTCCATTCTCTACAGTATTGTGTGCATTTTTCTTCAGAAAAAAAAACGCAATCACATTAGAAAGTCATTGCAGAAAATAAAAGTTGTACTGAACTGCGACAGTGTACACACAGTGAAATATTTCATGATGAATTCATCCATTACCGTGCAAGAGTTTAAAACTGCACCCTGAAACTAGCTGAATTGACAGCAATTAAATTTTGTCTTTCAAGGAAATACCGAGAGGCAACAGACACTTCTGGTTAGTGGCCAAATGGGATAGGTAATACTTGAGCTTAAAATGACATTACACAGCTTTTAATCAGTGAGTGGACAAGTCTGGGCACCTGTTGTACAGCAGCAGTAAGAGTGAATAAAGTTACACATACTAGTTTGACTCTTTCAGAGGCCATTGTTCAGATATTTTACTGGTCAGTTTATTTTGAGTCTACAAGGAAAGCCACTTCTGAAAGAAAAATACTTCTCCTGTCAGGGCTAATAAGTCTGTGCAGGACATGCAAAATTAATGTCAGCAGTCTTAAAGCTGACCATGCAATTCTGCAGGATTGGGCTACATCGTGCAATTACAGACACCTGTGGCCACACTGAACTGCCCAACTCCTTAATTCAAGAGCAAAATTAAAGCAATGAAGCATCAAGATAATAAAAAATTACTAAATTCAGAATTCAAAAATATTTTTATAATCTTTTAAGTTTCACATTAAAATTTAGAAGTATTGTTTTTATCTCAGCAGGGGAGAAGGAGTTCTGTAAAAAGTAGTTCCAAAATAGAGACATCTTAAAGATGGTCAGAATTAGGAAACAGGTTAAAACTACTTTTACTTCCCTACCTGAAAGCCACAATTTTACCTCATTTTCTTACCAACAGAAATTTCAAAAGCCAATAGACAACAAAAGGAGATCCTGATACATGTCATGGTGTAACGACCCACACAGAAGACACCCTCAGCCTAACATACCATTAAAAAGCACAGCTGCATTAATTGAAATTCTCCTGTAAACAACATGAATCTATTTAGATGTGCTTCTGGGGAAGAAAAGCACTGAAGCTGTGTGCCACTTGTTTGCACTTCTGTTTCCAGTAGAGTTCTTAACCACTGTTAAGTAGTGTCCTAGACAACTTAATTGCAGATTAGTGCACTTTCAATGCATAAAGACATTTTTATTGTAATCTTTTCATAGAAATAGAAGGGATGTACTGGTCAACCATTAGTGATAATCCTAAGATATTGAGCAGCTTCTGAAGACTAAGCCTGCACTTCTTGGGGTTTTTTTTAATTCTAGTTGGTTCCTAAGAACTACATTATTAGGCAGTATTTGTTACAGATTCCCTGCATTAGAAGTCCTGCTTCTTGTTTTCTGTGTAGTTTGAGTTAAATCACAACTTTTAGAAAAGAATTTATGACATCACTTTGATTTTGTACAATTCAAGAGCAAGACTGAAGAAAGCCCCACAGAATAGAAAGATTTTTCCTCATGCTAAACAATCTTCCTAATAATGGGAAAGGAAGACAGAACAACTCAAGTGGGATACTAACTCTAAGTTGTAAAAAAACAAAGAAGCTGAAGCATAGTAATGCATGCTTTGTGTCATCCAAGAGCACCCCTAGACTTAAATCTTGTAATCTTGTAAGTTGTTAGCATATTAGCCAAGTTCCATTTCCTTAAAATTGTATTTACTCAGCAGCTTTTCAGAAGACAGTTAAGTTTCTGAATTCTTTGTTGCAAAATTACTCTCAAAAAGCTGAAGTTACTCAATACTTAGACCTTCTTAGCAAAATTACACTTGAGAAAAGATCTGGTTTATATTGTTAACACTAATCAAAATTTGGTCAGGAAATATATGTAAACAATAAGGATAATACATTTAAGGCTTAGAAAGAACACTGATAAATTCACCCCTGTCACATTAAAACATCCACATCTCCTTCATGGTCCTCCTCAGTCACTTTTAAAGAGAGCACTTCTTCATTAAGAAATAATCCACTCAGTCTTTCTTTACGAGCTTGTCTCTGCTCTTTCAGCTGTCTCTTCCGTAAGGCCTTTTGCTGTAGTTTCCGTTGCTTGGAACGTTTCTGTCAAAATAAAGAAGAGACAAAATATAAGATTTTGTTCTGTAGATTAGAAAACACTTCTAAAGCTGGCAAATATAAATTAACCTCTAAAAATAACATCTCTGAAAAATAACTAATATGAATTCTTAGAGGTGGTGTAAACAGTCATCCAAAATTGTATCTGATATTAAAATATCAAGACCCATTTACCATATCTGAGTTATGAGGCACAACATTACCCTGGGATGTTGCACAGTCGAATTTTTGATTGAAGGAATCTTTACTGCTGGGGAAATGTTACAGTCTTACATTAACAAACCCAAGATGTTGAAGAGCAAGCAAGAACTGCTCCTCTCCTCCACCCCTGATATTGAAATTATGGAGACACGACAAGTGCCACAGTACTGCTTTAAATGGAACACACCTCAGTGGGTCACTCCTCACCACGTAATCTCATGAGACATGGAAGAATAAACTGAAGAAGATTCAAAAAGCCTGATGAAACTTTTAGTTGGAAAAAAAAAAAAAACCACAAAAGAAAAACAAAACACAACCAAGACGGTCTTTACTATCCAGAAATTATGCCTAGATTAGGGTGATCAATCTTAAATAATTATTTTTTTTAAACTGTGTGTGTTTTTAAGTTAGATGCATAAACCCTTACTCAAGCCCACTCACATTACTCTAAACAAAAGGAATTAAAAATCTGCTACAAACATCAGGCTTTCTCTTAGGAGAGAAATTATGGCAAGAGCACGAGTTTTAACTCCTCGTGATCATGTCACACCAAACAGTCAACACTGGTTTATCTAGATAACTCAGTTACTGTGTTCCTTCAGGACAAACATCCCAGGTAAGATCACATAAGCAAGCTTAAAGAGTTAAGACAGCTTAGCGCAGATTTACATAATTAGAAACTTTACTTTTGAATCCCGGATTCTCTCTGCAGCACTTGAGGACAGGTTACTGTCGCTGTGCGCTCGACTCATGTTGGCACTCGAGTTTGAGGCGGAGTTGGCGACGCTGGAGCCGCTGCTGCTGGCTGAGCTGACCATGCTGGCACTGCTGCTGCTGGCACTGGCACCGCTCACACCACTGGTACTCGCACAGCTGTAGCTGCTCCTCTTCCAGCTCTCCCTTGCTGACCGCTGACGAGGCCCGTGCTCCTTGATGTAGTTCCTCACCTGTAGAACGGAAGCAGCAAAATTACTAAGGCTTGATAAACACTGCACTGAGATGCTCCTTTCCGTGGAAAAAACAATTTGCCTGTTAATGATCGAGTTATTGGATCGATTCAGTTAGACTTTTAAAATATTTTGCTGTGCCTGCTTAAATCCCAAGCCATCTGGCAGTCACTCAGAGAACTAAGTTAAAATTAGCTTCACTACAGAAGGAACAAAAATAAGTAGCAAGGTTTGGGGTTTTTTCTCCTCTCCTGCTCCTCAAGTTTGCTACTACATTAGTTACTATTTCAACACCAAACAGGAACATCAGTCAAGTTCAACTGAACTGAGCTGTTTACTTAATGTATCAAACCCCTTTATTTTGCTAGGTATACTCAAACAAAAATGGGTGTAAATAAAGCAGTACTTTTCTACTGTAAGATGATACTTAAAAAATGCTTGAAATATGAAATAGGCCAAGCCCATAAAAGCAGTGAATGTTTTCCAGTTTCAGTCTTCACTTTCATCACAGAGTAACACTGAGGAATTCAGCTTGTTTGGACACTACATCTCTTCCCAACAACACATCACAGCAGTACAAAGACTAAGAAGTGGGATGTACCTACCCTACCAGTCAAGTACCCTTCTTTGTTATAATTCCTATTCCGTTACATCTTTAAAATGCGTTTTTATCTCCCTTTCTACATGAAATTTATGGTCTTCCCCAACCAATCCCAATATTTTAGAGTTTTAAATGCTAGTTTATATTCAGTGAGCAAATGAAGATCCTCAGCTAGCTGATGGTCACACTCACCAGCTTAGGCTTAACACATACTGAAAATGTACAGTCACAGTCTCATATAAAGGTTTCCCTCACTGACAATATTGTGCTCTAGTGTATATCTCTATATCTAATGATTAGGTATAAAAATCGATCACAAGTCCATACAATTTTCCAAGCCATATCAGACGCTGAAACCCCAAAGTCAAATGTACAAACTTTATCTCACCTGTTTCAGTTTTTCATCTGTGAGACAGTTCAATTCAATAATGAATTCACTATCTGTAGGTGAGATCTGAGCAGTAGGATCAATAATTTTAATAATATCAAGTTGCTCTCGAAGGCCCATTTCTGTACTGACTTTGCGACTCAAGTATTCAATATATTCAACCTAGGATCAAAAGAGAGGCAGGTCATTTTAAAGTATCATTGATTCTAAATGAGAGACAGAAAAAAAGGAAGGACCAACAGGATAAAACATGCTCAAATATCACTATTCTAGCCTTGAGTATCCTTAAAAACTCAGGGTGAAAACTTGAGTAGGCATTAAACTGCCTCTTACGGACCCAAAAGACAAGAAGATTTAGTTTTGAGAATCAAGCAGTCCTGCATAGGTCTGCATTTATACCTACAGCAATCAGAATGCCATTTAAGTTGTATCTTTTAATGGAAAGTTCTTCTGCACATTGCAGTTCTCACACAGGAAAAAAAAGTCACCTGTTCATCATTTGTCATTGCACTCCACGGAAGTTCATCAAGATTCCTATGCTTGTTTTTCTTTTTCGGAAGCAGACAGGGAGAGCTTGGGATACTAGGTATAACATCAGAAAGCACATCACTCCCACTAGTAATGTCGCTGCCAGGCAACTTGTAACATGCAAGAGAAAGAACAAAGCTTTAGAGTACAGTAGGCAGATTGTAAAATCACTCTATTAACCATTCAAAACATACTGTCAAATTAGCAAAGCTTCGATTATCTCTGCACTCTAACAACTTCTTTGTAATTACTCATAACTCCCTCGAATCTTCCAACAAACAACAAGTGCAGCAAACTCAATTCATACTATTCTCTACTTATCAATTCTTTTTAAAAATTTGCATATAAGAAAACAGTAGAATGCTGTGGCATTTCAATTACTTCCCTTTTCCGTCAGTGGAAATTGCCCATTACAATCCAAACTTAAATCTAAATCCCCCATTTCAAAGCATAAATCTAGTTTAAGGAATATAATTTCAAAGTCGGTCTGTAATTCATGCCACACCCCATAATTACACAAGAATATTCAATTAAAATTACTGTCATTTGCCTGGAAGCAACTGCAGAACTTCAGCTAGCTTCATTTATACATGACACATGATTTCTGAATGCACTTCCAGTTGAAGTGGGACAGTTGGATTACTCATGCTCAGATTCTGCCAGATAACACCATAAAGAGCTGCAAAAAAGTCTTTCCAAAATTTTACAAGTCCAATCAAGTATGTCTCTTAAGAAAAGTTTGTTTTAAAAAGCAAAGAGTGATAAAAAAGCTAGTTACCAGTCAAACATGCTGTCAGCTAACTAAGGCTTAAGAAATTACTTCTTTTCAAAACAATTGCCAAGTTTATCAAGCAATTAAAATTTCACAGCTCAGCGAAGCTCTGAATCTTTGGGATCCAACCTGAGTCGTTCCTACAGGCTGCATTACACACATTATACACATGCACTTGTAACTTCTGCAATAAATAGAGACCAGCAGTTAGACTAAACCAGTCAGAAATTCAGAGCTAATCTCAGAGCACGTCTTGAGTTTATTTACATCTTCTGGAACAGGATCTGAGCCTTCTTAGTTTTCAGTTCTTATAGTGCCCTTAGGACTCTACATGCTTTGACTGAACTTTACAACAAAATTTAAAAGTATGACCTTCACTCACTCGTCCAGATTAAAAAGGCTGGAATAAAACTAAACAAAACACTTCTTTATCACTCAAGATTCAGGTATGTGCTCCCATGCTCAGTAGTTACAAAGAAACAAATGCTGAGAAGGTCATTTGGTCTGTTCAGCCTGGAGAAGAAGAGACTGTGGGGAGATATCACAGCTGTCTGCAGCTCCCTCACAAGGGGAAGAGGAGAGGCAGGCACTGATATCTTCTCTATGGTGACCAGTGACAAGATCCAAAGGAATGGTCTGAAGTTGTGTCAGGGGAGGCTTAGGTTGGGTATTAGGAAAAGGTTCTTCATCTAGAGGGTGGTTGGGCACTGGAACAGGCTCCCCAGGGCAGTGGTCACAGCATCAACTCTGACACAGCTCAAGGAATGTTTGGGCAATGCTCTCAGACACGTGGTGGGATTCCTGGGGCTGTCCTGTGCAGGGCCAGGAGTGGATTTCGATGATCCTTGTGTGTCCCTTCCAACTCAGGATATTCTGTTCTATCCGACAGCTTTTCAACTACAACTAAACCCAGCACGTAACAGTCCACACAAAATTTTACATTTACAGTGGAACTAGTTTACCTGCCATTCAAACTCACTGTCTGACCAATCCCAGTATGTGCTGATAGAAGAAGAGACATCACTGCAGACACTGCCCTCGGGGAACAAATCAAAAGAGGTGAACTCCTGGTCATCCAACAGAGAGTAACAGTCATCCTGATCACCAACAGAAACCGATGAGAACAGCTCCTCACTGCACTCTGAGCTGGCCACGCTGGTTCCACAGGATGTCAAGTTCCACCTGCAAAACATGACAAAACAATTAGAAAGCAGCAAACGTTGGCATCACATGGCCTGAAAAATTCTTTTAAGCCCTTTAAAACTATCTCCACTTTGCTTGCATTACACATGGATTTTATTGAAGTTATAATTATAGAAATTGACGTATTCTGGTTTAAAATATTTTTTAAAGTCCATAAACAACACCAAAGGGAACCCAAGGCCAAAAATGGCCAGGTAAAAATCCACACACAGTTAGTATAATTACATCTTTATTTTAATATATTATCACTTTCCACCCCAGAGCCACGACTCCTCTAGTATGTGAATTGTTTCTTTTTGCTGCTGGTTGGATTTCTAAAAATACACTGATCTAAAAATAAAATTTTCCATATGTTTGGATATTTAAACTTTCACGTAAATTGAAATAAGCAGAACTAAAAAGTTAATCAATCAGACATCAGGATAAATAGAAGTCAAAAAGAAATTCTAGGCTGATAATCCCCCACAAAACTGAGGCTTAATAAGGAAACACATTATGGATTCATTATTCACAACTCCAAATGTCAAAAACATTGGACATGCTGTTGGAATAAAACAGTGCAAAATGGGAAAATGACCTGTGTGAAAATGCTACCATGCCAAAACGAAACACTTTTTCCACCTCATTATTTCATTTATAAAGCTAGTTAATGCTGTTGCTAAAGGAAAGCTATTGAGGACTCAATTTTCACAGAACAGGTTTTTGCTCTAATGAGAGTAAGTCAGAATTTAACAAGCTCATGAAATCAGTCTCCATATCTGGATTTATTTTACATATTGGTGAAAAGTAGGTCGAGACAAATATGAGTCAGCACAGCACTGCAATATGGCCAAAACAATTTGAAAAGGGCTTCTAAAATGCACCACACAAACCCACACAATCAACTCCTTTCCATCAGCCTGTCCACTTCAGCCTGGCTAACTAGAAAAACACTCCTCTGCCATCCAACTGCAAAAGCCAAGCAATCTCATCGCCCTGAAGGGCTGGTCCTCACTGTCATTATTTAAGCTGCATACCAGGTTGGCTAAATATGTTTGTGATGGATTCACTCCCACATGTACTTGGCCAGCACTGAATTTATCCAACGTTAAAGACATTTCCAAACCTCCTCTTTTAGCAGATTCAGGAGATCCTGCTCTCCCTCCCTTTCTGGATCCCTTACAGAAATCCAGTGTTTCACCGTTCAGACTTTTGTGGGCAGGGCAGCCCATTGGTACAGAGCAGAGCACGGGTGTGGTGACACAGCACACTTCTCAGCATGACTACAGTTACAGAATTCATGAAATATTGACGAAAGGAAAGACAGAGCGGACAAAGTTTCCAGACCCATCAAAACAAAAAGTGAGGTGCAGGGGCTCTACCACCACCCCACTATGCAGATACTCCAGGTACAGGCAGACAGCCCTCACCTTCTCATACTCAGGGGGGTCTGCCAGGCTTGCTGGGGTGAACTGGACTTACAACAAGTTGGAACTACATTAAAATTACTCATAATATTAAAAAATAGGAAACCTTATGCAAACAGCACAGATTGAGCTGTGCATCTGCAATGGCTTAATGAGTGTTTGTCCTTGCCCAAAGAAGTGAGATAGCCCCTCAAGATGCCTGAGTTACAAACCTGCATTTGTAAAATGAGCAAACCTAAGTAACACACTTGGGAAGTGAAAAGCAACACAAAGAGAAACTCACAAAACAACTATCAAACATTTATCTTACAGATATGCTAAGAATATTTCTTACTGCTCATATCACAATTGTGTCTTACAATTTAAGAAGCCTATCAAGAAAAACATATCATATTTGATTAAGGTTGTTTGTGCTGAATCATTTAAGAAGCTATAATTAAGAGTTTGCCCTTGTGAACAATACTTTCAAAGTGCAATTTCCATGATTTCATACAAATTCAACTGAAAGATTATCTTATTAGTCATAAATACTCTTCATAATGGTGTAGTAGAAACACTAATAATCAGTAGAAGTATCTTGCAAGTCTGGAACAGGAACCAGAACTACCCCACACATATGTTCGTGACTGAAATCTCACAGACTGTTCTCAAAAAAAGAGCTATTTCCACATTCAAGTTTAATACTACGCATTAGCAGAATTACGTTCTCAGGAAAGCAGGACTGTGATTTTCACTTTATAAGCACAATTGGAATTTCTTTGTAGAGCTGTATTTGCACTTTTTGAATAGATCTTTTCTACAAATTACAGGCTGAATAATTGGACGATCATTAGTAGCATGGGATTGAAATGTTTCTGCAGGAGTCGGTGCAGTCACCAAGCTGCCTGACTCATTCTGAACCTCTACAGGTTTGCCTGGTGTCCATGCAAGGCCTGCTTTTAACTCTTATAAGCACACCACTCTGCAGCTGACCATCCTGCAGCACTCAAAAATGACCAAAAATCTCAAAAAATAAGACATTTGGAGAGGAACGAGGCTTGGAGTAACCTGGCTCAGTGGAAAGTATCCCCGCCCAAGGCAGGGGGGGTTGGAACTACATGATCTTTAGGGTCCCTTCCAACCCAAACCAGTCTGTCATCCTACCAACAAACACATCTTTCAGGAACGACCCAGCTCACATCGACAGCTGTAACGTGACGAGCCGAACCCCGACTAAGCCAAGCGCAGGGTACCCAGCAGGGCGTGAGGAGCACCCTCAGCCCGGTCACACCCGCTCGCACCGGGCAGGGGAGCGGGGCAATGATGTTCGGCCCAGCCCGGGGACAGCAGCCGCCCTGAGGCCCCTCAGCACCCCCCGGGCGCACCTGTTGGAGTGGAAGCGGTGCAGCGGGTCGGTGCGGTGGCAGGACGAGAGCTGGCAGCCGAAATCGCTGACGTCCAGGCAGCCCTCCTCGCTCAGGCTCAAGCTGCCGCCGCGCGGCGGGTGCTGGTGCGAGAGCAGCGGGCACGGCTCCTCTGGGGCCAGGAACTTCTCGTACGGCTCCTCGGTCATGGCGGCGGGGGCGGGGGCGGCTCG